TTCTAGTAGAAGTGAAAGAGCATTTCTCTAAATAGTAGATACGCAGCTTTCAGGAAGCGTGACTATACTTCTTGGCTTAAGTATTACGAAGTGTTTGGAACTAAACCAAGAATGATCTAGGTACTATGTCTACAGCCATGGTTTTAGGCAACCAAATGAAATGACCACACAGTTTCTCACCCTCGTTCCCATTTCTCAAAGAAAAACTGACTGGAATTGATAGTTTGATGATGACAGCAACAGTATCACATGATATGTGAAACATATCCACTAACAAAAAGTCCAAGTTTCCAATATCCTTCTTCTGGGACAAATAACACAAGAACTTCAGTTAGATCACTAAAAAAAAAAAAAAAAAAAATCCTTTTCTAAAGACTAAGGTACTAGAAATTATTTTAAGCAGTAGTGTTAGAAGACGACAAGACTAGACAAGATCCACACAATGTAGTTTATTGCACATTTAGGGAACAGCTTGTTGTCTCCTAAGCTGGTGTATACGTAACTTTTTGCAAACACTCTGTGCACATCATTGTCCACGTACTGCAGCTCAAGGCCAAAAATGCTGAACTGGAAGAGAGGTGGGAAACTAGGCTAGCTGTAAAAAGGCAAGCTGTAACCCTTTAGGCACAGGCACCTCAAAGGTAAGTTTTTAGTCAAAAGGAAACCAGGATACTGGGACATAAAATGAAAATAGGCTTAGAAAGTTGCTTTAACTGAGATTTAAAAGCAGACAGTAGACACAACAAACACTGACCAAAAAAGATCTGATAAAAAAAGTTTCTAAGACAGAGACATTGCACCACAGGTGACAAAACCTATGGCAAGGATTTCAGTTTAATTGGTAAAGGAACAAGTTAAGGTAACAAACATAGCTTCTTTCAAGCTACTGAATTTTTATACTGTGAATTCTACATAATGAGATCTCATAATCAACAGGAACTTAAGAAAATCTGTACAGATGTTAAAATCATGAAAGCAGAAAGAAAAAATTGACATATCTTGATACGATAATCACAGTAGAGTGGAAAAGCAAACAGAAGGTAATAAGTTTCTCACAGGAATGATTTTTGGTTAGGAGGCATTAAAATCTAAAAAAGGCTATATATAAGTTAATGAAATGAGTTTCAATTGGGGGGAAAAAAAAAAGGCTACTTTTACATATACCTATACCCTATACATGTATGGACAAAAGGCTATAACAATGCCAGGGCCTCCAACTGTAAACTAAAAGATGACTTTTGTTTATACCTGAATAGTAACTAAGGATATGTGAAAATTACAGCCAAAAAAAATGCAGAAAGCAAAAGCAGAATTTAAATCAATAATGGTCAGTTTTAGACAGGCAAAAAATGATGGAGAGGAAATAAAGGCATGGATTCATAAAAATACTTGTTAAAGGAGAATCTAGAACTACTTGTTATTGTGGGGGAAAAAAAAAAAAAAAATTACAGACCAGTGTATACCAGTGTATACAAAGTATGGGTCAGAAAAAGTGAATCAGAAATAATCTGTCCACCTTTCTCCACAGTACAAATAAGGTTCAAAATAAGATAAAAAACCACCTTTCATACAGTTCTACAGCATAGTTGCCAAGTAGTATACAGTTTAAGTCACAGATGCCGAAACACTATTAAATTCAATAGTTTTCAAGCAGGCTTAAAAGGAGCGAGAAACAAGAGAGAAGTAAAAGTCTTCACACCCTGAAATATTCAGAATCTTCCACACAACGAGTTTGCCTATTACTCAAGTAGACACAGGGCATGAGGTACAAGAAATAACCAAGAGGTCTTGCACAATAAGTTAGCAGCCATCTTCTAAGCAATTTTTACTATTTCATATGCTGTTTACAATTTCCTATCAAGTCTGATTTTAAAATCATACTGTATATCCTCCGGGCAGAACAGATACCAAATCAAATAGAAAACCGTAGCTATCAAATATTATCCCCTACTTTTACATAGTTATACATCACTGTTTCTTATTGTTGACAAGAATAGGTAAGACTTTCTATCATGAGCAATGATTTAGACTGTAACTTTTATTTTCCTAATACAAAACATTTTTATCATGTATTAGTTGTAAATATTAATTAATTAAATTTAATTAATTAGATTACCCTAAATAATTACAACAATTAGGCAAAAACTCTTCATCAAGTACTGCCACTCTGCTTTTCTGGTAAAGCAGGTTACTGTCTCTCTAAAATTAATAAAAAGACAAAGCTTGGATCATTTTAAGGCAGATTTTTCATGCCCATTTTGCAGGAAGTCTCCTGTACAGTATTCCCAGTGTGGCTTTGGACGCATCAATCTCACAACTACAGAGGTTCAGAGCCTTTCTAGCTTTCCCCAGACCTTAATCAATTTTGAAAAGGATTAATATCCCATGTTCCCTCTTCCTCCCAGCCAAGACGCTTATGGTGAACCTTGAAGATTAATGTTCTAACCACATTCCCAGTCCTCCATCGGTTTCTTCTGAATTACTGCTCAGTATGCTTCAAGCAGGCATCATGAAAAACTGTTTTAGTACAACACTGCAATACTCCTTTATACAGTTTTCACACCTTAGTATATCTAAAGTCATGATAGCCTTTTACTAATCCTTCACCACACATCATAGTTTTGTCATTCCTCTGACCTCCCAAAGAAGTACCCAATGCATTTTCACAGTCTAACACAGAGCTTATGGTTTTGAAAGGTTTAAAATCTTGGATAAAATTAACTGTGGGTATAAAAATGTATCAGATTTAAGAATATTATTACCTATTTAATCTTTAAATAAATTTCTAAGTTTTTCACAAAAGATTCTAGTATCATTATAGCCCTTTTACAAGCAGGGAAGAACTGGAAGGAGCGGGGAACAGAGAATAATCTTTTTCAAGATAAATCTGCAGGCTAAAAATAAAACCTCCATTCTACTTAGATCCATGTTTCAAGACCTTTAAATACAAAATTCCTCCCCCATCCCCTAATAATATTAATAGGTGCCATCAAGTATGTAAAGATTTATTTTCTTCTTGCAAATCAGCTCAGGATCACTCTCTCTAGACAAACTTTTCATTCTCTAGCTAAGTATTATAGCTCCAGTTGGCCAATAAAAGCTGTACTCCACGCAGAGACTTTTAAGAGTATTTTTGAAATACGGGCTTCCCTTACAGAAGACTTGCCACCAGAACGAGCCAGTAAGGATCTAAATAATTAATTTAAAAGCAGAAACACTGCAATAAACTTGCTTGCTCTGCATATTCATACATCCTTCAGAATCAAGGGGGAAGAGAAGGTAGCACTAACAATTCTTTTCAAGTCTAAGTAGGAGTATTTTTTATAAGACTCCTGGAATATAAAAAGCTTACTCCAGAGGAATTAAATCTGTTCTATCAGTTTATATCAACGTCACCAGACCAAAACCAAAATTAAGAATCTTCAAGACCAGAAAATCAGGGATGGGATGAAGAAAGAAGATAAAATATCAACAATGAGAAATGTGAGACTGGGTACCACCACCTTTCACTTCCATTACCCTAAGTAAAGCACAAACACAAAGACCGTAGCAATTACTGCAGCCCCCACTTACATATCAAATCAATCAATGTTAAGCATTTAACAGATATCAGTCTTGCTGACTTTTATAAGATCCTCTTTAACACCTCAGAAAAAATGGTTTTAAAGCACTTTCAGTTTCAGCTGCTAAAACCAGAATCCTCACACTCTTCAAGGAGCACAAATGAAAACCTCCCACTCCTAGCTGAATTCACATCGATATCCACTCTTCTCCGTATGAGAGTCATATGATTCACAGATCCCTAATAACTCAAGGTCCTATTTACTAAGTCAGCAGTAACTGTCAACAGGTGGTGGAGAGAAGAAGAGAGTCTCCTGGACTCAATCTTTGCCTTAAATCAGACAGTATGTCAAGGTCAGATTATTCAGACTAACTTTCCCCCTCTTGACAGGTCAGGAGGCCAAGGGGGAAAACCAAAAACCCTGTACTATATGCAAGACTTAGCACTTTTCTCTGAATTCAGCTGTACAGTATTAAAAACCAGCCACTTGAAGAGCTAAATATTCCTTTGGACTGCATTAAAGTTGTCACTGAAACTAAGAAACTTTATTACCAAGACAACATGCTAAACTCATACATTACTACTTCTTTTGTGCCAAGTGCTACACATAACCATTCCCCCACTCCTAGCCTTTAGAAATTTAAATAATCTTTAGAGACATGAAAAATATTTAACGCATTTTCTTTCTCAGATTTTACATTTAAATGAGGGCAGTATTTCCTAACACGAAGAGAAGCAATCAGTCCAGCTCCTGAAGGCATTGTGTCACTCTTGAACATGCAGCCGTTCCTACTGCATGCACAATTGATATCTTACTGACCATGTCGCAGGGAACTAGTTCCCCCTATCAAAATAATACATAAGTAATCAAATTGGAATTCTGACAAGTTTGCCTTCCATGCAAGTAAAAGCCAGCACTCAATAATAAAAGATCTGAATTTTAGGAAAAGGAAGCTTAGTTTTATTAATTCCTCACCAGTTGTTTAGACATATAAGATGAAACAGAAGCTTGGCAAGCTGCTTTTAAAAATTATACTGCTAATTTTCTACTTGGGTTAACAACGTTTCCAAAGTAACAAACTTTTCTGTTTGCAGGCTGAGGCAGACTGAAGACACTGAAAATAAGGCAGAGCATTAAGGAATGGGTCCAAAGCAACCAGATTGCTTTTATTTTGCAAATGCTGTAAACATACCCATCCAAAAAACTGTATTACAATCTGTTTTTGAAAAAAGCTTTGAACATGCTGAAGAAGCAAGCACATTTCAATACCTACCTTGAAACTTCGATACAAAGGCTTTGAAGAATACATCATCACTAATACGCCATTCCTACTGTCTTTTGAACAAACTATTTCACAATTTATATCAAGCTTCCCCCCTCTGACACACAAAAAGGTTATTTTCCTTTGGTGTGCAAGTACAGTAAGAATTTACTTACCACAGCAAGTTGTGTCCGTGACGCTACCGTATGAAACACTGCAGGCATCATGAGAGATTCTTCTACTTTCAATTCCATCTCATTTTCTGCTGAAAATGTGGTTTTGGGGATAGCCGGTGGACGTTCACACAAGATCATTTCTTTGTTGAATAAAAAAATTGGGTTGGTATCCTACACTCAAAAGAAAATGAAACCAAACACTGAGTAAAGGCAACATACTGTTCAATCACCAATTATTTCATTACGTGGGTAATATGTCTTACGAATACATTAAAATCTGTGTAAGCTGAATACGTAAACATCTGTTTCTCAAAGCAAAGAAATCCAGCAAACAGTACACTACAGAAAAACAGTTAAAAAACCCGTAGTAAAACATCTTTTTCTTCCCCTATAAATGACAGTTTAGATGCAGTACTTACTGTTCCAGCACTGTAACTACACACTCTTCTGTCTGGTGCCATACACTCTCCTCCATTGACAACCAGTACTTGGTGCTGAATGGCAATCTTATACTTTGTTTGAATTGCATGTTTCAGATCAGCCACACTGGAAAAAGACGGGAAGGGAAGATGACACTATCAGCATATTTGTGTCTCTAATTTTACATATTCCTGTAATAGAGACAGGTGACTTGTTTGTGTCAAAGCAGAACTTTTTAAAAGAACTATTACTTTTTATTCTGCACAATAACATATTTTTAATTTTTTAAGTGCTGTAATGTGTTGCATTATGGATATCCAGCTAATAAGCTATCGGCTAAAAGAAGACAGCCTCTGCATCACTGATAAGTCATCAGCAATCTTTTTCCAAGAAGATCTGACAGCATGCTGAAATTCTGGATTAAGTCACATCAAGCATTTAGGATAGTAACTGTAAAAGTCATATTATGTTCTTTGAATATATACTTTATGAACAAACAGCTGCCTTATTAAAACCCTAGAAGACAACAACAAGAGTATTAACACTTCATTATGCATAGCATAAGCATAATTTCACCTAATCAACTCCGACTGATTTACTGTACATGAAGTGCAGTGTAGCACTTAATAACAGGAAATTAAACAATCCATATATATGCAACGAATTCATATAAACATAACAGACATTTTTAATGCAGAAACAATAGATCAATAAACCATCCCTGTTTTCGTTCACCATCCTCGTATCTTTAATTCTGGCTGATGACATCTTCATGTTACCGCTTATTTTAGACAGTTCTAGACTTTGTCTTGACACAGGCAAACAGCAAACTAAACAAGAATTTACTAAATATGATACAGTAACTGACCCAAACTATAACACATTGGGATAGTATCTGTGCAAAGGTATTACAAAGCTTCAGAGTATCAAATGAATAATTAATATAAGCATCAATGGTTTTGATATAATCGGCAGGAAGCGTAACAATGTTACTGGCTATATGGTACTTGAAAAATAAAGATAATAACCATGATTCAATATGACATCATGAATTCACTACAAACATCTCATGAGCACAAGCTTGTACACGCTATCTGTGTTACAGTAAGCATTCACCTACCATCTCCTTAGTCTTTGGGAAGATAGCTTGGCCTGTCCATGTACAAGGAGATAGGCAAAGAACCCAAGAAAGTTAGTCTTTCTAGAAAGAGCAAGTCTATATATACAGATATACAGAATAAGAAGTTAACTGTTCAACTGAAGAGTCTTGGATTTTGTGTGGTTCAGCTGTTGGAAAGCTTCTTTCTCAAAGAACTATCCAACTGAGCAAAAAGTTGGCCCATACCAGACCATTAGGTGTCTAGTCTGGCAGTTCAGATGCTGCACCTCACTCACTCACCATGATTTAGGAACAGAATGTCTCAATGTACCAGACAGCATACAGGACTGCTGACACATCTACAAATGACCCAGTAGATCCAGAATGGCTTTGCAGAAGAGCATACAAAAACACTCAGTGTAGATAGTCTTAGGGCCCTTCCACCCCAAACAAGTTTCAAAATCCAAATTCACTTGTTGAGTCATGAAAATTACAAACAGGAATTCAGGAGAAAAGAAACAACGGATTTGAGCACAAAATCCATGGTAGAAGTCTTTCAAGCACAATTACTTGCAACTCATTCATCACTGATAGAATATGAAGACAGCAGGTAAGCTTGGCTCTTGCTAGCTCCAAGCTGATGGGCTATCATGATATTATACACAATTTACTTATTAGATCAGAGTCCCACATGAGAACAAGGAAAAAGGATACAATACATCCAGTATAACTAGACCTCTCTAAAAGCATCTTTACATTTGCAAGATGCTTTTAATATGCAGTGAAAAAAATACAAATAGTAAAGTTGTTGGGACTTAACTGTGATTCTGTAACACTGCCCATGTTTCAGGCAGTTGGGCATTCAGAAGTTCATGTTTTACATATAAAATGCTGTAAAACATTTTGGAGCCTTACAACATAGGACAGAACCAACTGTTACCCATCCTGGACATGAGACAAAAACCTATATGCCAGTTCTTTAGCACCCAATCTAAAAATATTACAGAGCACACACTTTCTTCAGGATGAGTATATACGGACAGGAGAAAGAACAATTTGCAGAATTTCTTCTATGATGCCAGTCAGTAAAAACCAAACCTTTTACAGAGGTATCCTAAACAAAAACGCCACCCAATAAGAGGTCACAGAAGATCAGAAGTCATTCTGACAGTTTTTCCAAAGAGCACCAAACATAACACCAGACTCTGCTAAGAGCAGGTCATCCTCTGTGTCTGCCCCAGAAAGTAAATAACCTCTCCATTCTTTGATGGGACCTCAAACACACAAAATCACCTGCAAGGCACTGAAAATGCTAATCCAAAAAAAAAATCCCAGAATTCACTCAAATACATGAAAACCTAGAAGACAACTACATGGACATACTAAAAAACAACTGAGTATCATCTCTCTAGAACTCAGTATACAAGAAGTATATATACTTTTTTTTTTTTAATTTAAAAACAAACAACACGCAATTAATTTACTTTCTTACTTTTGTACAGCAAGTTCCGTATCAAAGGTAAGGGTAGTTCCAGTGTTAACCAGAAATACATATAGCTTCATGATGATTTCTTTAGGTCTCTAAGTTTGTAACTTCCACTGCTAAAATCATTTAGAAACTGAAAAAAAAAAATTTCAAGTGTTAGTTTCACATACAAGTTACGAAAAAGACACGTACATGCTTTTGAAAAAATACTTCTAGATATTCAGTGGGTGAACACATTAGCTCTCACATTCCACAGTTCTTTATCCATTACTAAACATACAGATGCTCCTCTGACCAGAAACATGGGCAAGGTAAGCCTCTGCACATGCAGATAGTTAGGAGAACACATGAAAATATACACTGAGGAGAATTTAAAAAAAAAAAAAAAAAAAAAGGAAAAAGAAAAAAAAGACAACTTTCAGTTGCAGAGGCCACCATCTCAGATCATTACCTGGCTTTTCTCAATTATGAAATGAATTTTTAAAGCCCCAGATACAGTTATTTCCAGACATATTTTCTATATTTTACGAACAGCAGCATGATCTATGCTGTAAGTATTCATTCTCAACTTACAGCTACAAAGTCTACCTGCTCCCTACTATCCCTAGCCATATTTTTTTCACTCAGACATATGGAAGCATTAGCAAAAAATAAAATAAGAAAATAGCTAAAATTATGTAGATTTTCTTTTTGTATCTCTCCATAATTAAGTAATAGTTCTAAAAAATATTTTCCTCTGTTTTCAGCACTAAATCTGTAGCTACTTTCTTCGCCACTGATAGTGAATATGGAGTGATCAAGACAGACACTGCAGTCCAACACATTGGACTCATTTTCAGTCCTGTGCCCTGGATGAGCGACTATAAGCACATGTTTCTCCAGTGTACATAACAGAAGAAAAACATTGAGCTGCTTTGTAAAACACTGAGATTTAATCCAAGATTTTATCACTGAAATACTCTGTACTTCTGAGCTTTTTTCTTTTCTCCTCCACAGGAGCTCAGAAGTTTAGGAATAATCTCCTCCATGCTAACAAAGCTGGTGCAGAAGTACAATTAGCACTGCAGTCACTAATGACCTGAAATTTTTCTGATGTGGAAGGATTTATGAAAAGTTAAGCTGTAAAATTTTTAGCCACTCAGCAATATTCTTATATCATTATAAAAATGACTTTTTGGATTAAATTACTTCACAGGAAGTATAAGCAGTCCCTCTTTTTTTTTTCCCTGAAATACGAACAGGACACAAACACAAGGTCTACACAGATAATTGTATCATTCTAAAACGAGTCTGAATGTGCATTTATTTATTTGCCTACACAGAGGAAAAATTGACAAACCATGGAAAAAAATAACAAAAACACCATTAAAGTGGGGAAGGGGGAGAGGTTTTACCAGAATAAGTCCAGAAAATCAAAAGAGCTTTCTTTCAAGAGAGTGGCTTTCCACACACTTTTCAAGTATTAATTATAGTACACAAACTAGTCAAAATATGCATTTTCACAACAAGGCTTCAGAAACAGAACCACATCAAATAAAAAAGCCCCAGTTAAATAATTTGATCTGAATTGAGTTTTGTTGTCCTTACACTTGAACTGTACTGTACCAGTGCACCAGTTCCAATTTATATTGGAAAAAGAAGAATATATTCTACAAACAAAGTTATTAGATAGACAAAAACTGCTGAACACCAAAAGCAAGCTAGCAATAATTTATTACTAAATTCTTTGGCCTAGGTTTCAGAATTAATCAGTCTCACGTGTAGAGACACTTCTTTTCACAAAAGGTATACTTGTGACCATGGTCCAGGTAGAATTAGAAACAAATATGTTAAATAATACAATGCCTAAAGCAAGCACCGTGGAGCACCCGCGAAAAAAAGCTCTCTTCCACCTAAGCAGAGCAAAAGGCTTGTATAGTATCTAGTTTTCATATAAACATTACTTTCTAAGCTCAAGTGATATTTAAGAGAATCTGTCTGGAAACCTCATGTACACAAAGTGAAATTTTAATCAAACATTTCCCCCTCCATTCCTTAACACTAAAGTTAACTATTTAAAACACAGAAAGAAAAAACATTATCAAGATCAAAAATATTTATGACAGCATCTACCAAGCATGCAACAGTAGTCTCAAACTTTTTAACTTCAAGCAAAGAATTACCTTCAGGCACTATACAAAGCTACCACCTTCTTCAAATTCAAGAGGAGAATAAATGCGCTCATTCGCTTTACTTGATTTTTGGCAACAGAGTAGCATGGCTGTTCAAAGCCAGAGAAGATCTGCAAAGATAAGATACAGAATGCAATTACAGGTATTATTAAAATGGCAGAATTTTATGGTCATCATTGCATCTAATCCAGAAATCCGTGTATGTCAATGCCAGAAAGAATAATTATGTGGTAGAATTTTTTTTTTTAAATTAACAGTGCTGTCCAGTTACAAGTCTACTCAAAACTGCTACATACCTGAATATTTTTGCACGTAAGCTTGGTTTAAAATAACCATTAGTGATATTCTTCGGTATTTACAAGGAGGCAAAGTTAGTTCACTAAAAAGAGCTGCCTGTATTTCTATGAACTGAAAGTGTTTTTCAGAACTGGTGCAGAATGCTGATATGACGATGCTAAGAGCAATACAGAAAGTCATAACAAAATGCAATTTACCTAAGAGAATCCAGTGTAAAAAGGCACACATGCTACTGCTGTTGAACGAACAGCCTTATCCTGCAGCTGCATCCAACAGATTCCTTCAGGAATCAGCATCACTCTCCTTACCTGAAACAAGGTAATCTTGTTTCTGAAGCCATTCACCTACTTTCACAACATTTGTTAGAATTTTTTTTTTTTTTTAAATAAACTGAAGATGCTACCACTCCCAGTTGCTTGTCACCGGCACCCTTGCCAGGGGCTTCCTCTCCCAGAACTGCTGTTTAAACTACAATTGAAACTACAAAAATCAAAATGAGCTGGATCAACAAAGGTGGTCTTTTTAGGCTACGCTAGTTCATTCATTTAACATACAGTTAAGTAGCGGTGCCAAAGGAGAAGGAGCCCTTAGTAAGGAAGGCAGTGATGAGCAGTTGGGCTCAGGGCAGTCAGGCAAGTGCACAATTGAGCTCCGAACTGCAAACAAACATTATTTCTACCATGTTAATGCCCTAGCAAGCTTTCTGAGAAGATGATCAGGCACTATAAAGGGTGATAATCCATTACTAAAAATAGGTTTGCTGAAGCATGAAAACCATTAGAACGTGTAAATCATTTTATACAACTCATGCTACTAACAGTAAATCAAAAACACTTCATCCCAAATTTGAAAACCTTATGATACCGGAAAAAGTTACACAACTATTACACATATTTTACGTGCATGGAACAGATAGCACTTTGTTAGGCTGTTATTTGAGCTATTATCTTCCTCCCTCCTGTCCACTCTCTCTTTCCTCCCATGCAAAATGCACACACGTCACCTTGTCAGAAGCAAAGGTGAAATAAAAGGGAAAAAAGCAATGTGTTTAAGTACCACCATTGGAAAACCAGTAACTGAAGTGTCCTCTTACAGTTTAGGTATCAGCAGACAGTAGTTGTACTTGAGCAAAATAAACTAATGAATACTTGCTTTAGATCAAAGTAATGCACATTAACATGAATAACAAGAAACTACTGAAACACTTCTGGCACAAAGCAGGATCAGAACACTATAATCTCTATTATTCTAATTCCTTTGCAACCATTAAGAAGTCAAAAAACAAGCGTTGTTGCTTCCACCCAACATTTCAACAAACAGTCCTGGGGGAACAGAACTACACCCACATAGGCAGGACAAATGTGTGTCGTCTCACTATTAGGTTACTTTTCTTTTTTTTTTTTTCCTTGAAAAAGCAGAATTCACCCATTCCCAAGGTTGCCACAAATTTCAGTGAGTACTTCCAGGAACAGAGGAATCATGTGAAGCAAGGTTTCAGAGAACATGCGCCTTTACCACCAAGCTCTCCTGCAGATTCACTGGTGCCCAGTAACAGCAGGCTGCAGCCCTCTTTTCATCAGGAACTATGTCAAGTGCCTCTTTCCAGCTGCCTGTTTTCACAACACTGGAAGAAACTGAATTTTGAGAGCTCTCCCTTGCATCTCTGGACAACATCTGGATGAGTCTGGCCAAAGTCCAAAGGTTAGTTAAAGGCGGAGAGGCACGAAAACCAGTCACAGTTGCCCAAGTCTCTTTTCTTTCAAAGGTCAAGTTACAGCAGACTATTACAAGCAAGATCAGCTACATATCACAAATTAGCCTTTAAGTCTGTTCCCAATATTCAAGAATATTATGATTCAGCAGTAACATAAGTTTTTAACACAAGCTTGGCATGGAAGTCAGGCACCATCAAGCATCAACAGAATACATCCATAAACACATACATTTTATTCTTCTTCTGTTTGTATCACCTCAACAGGCCATTAAGAGAATGTCAGGCTTTTTTAGCATTACACTGTTACATAGTGTTACAAGTTTCAAGCTTTTTAGTGTTACATTGCTGAAATTATTTTTAAATCATTTTAATAGAGGTTGAACAGTTACAAAATTTGACAACTACTGAAGACAGAGCTGCTAACTATGTAATCAGACAAACTGTAACAAAATGACTAATACACCCTGATTATTTGTTTGAACTGTGTGACCTGCAGCATTAGATACATACTATCATATAAATTAGATCCTTCAAATTATGGGATAGAAGCTGGTATGGCCAACAGCCATGAATTATCAGTAACAACGTTAAAAACAATACCTGAAAATTTGAAAAGGAAATTTCTGCAGCAGCTGCCAGAGCAGACAGAAGATGGTAGACAAGAATATAAGAAAAAGAATGAGATGACAAAAATGAATGTAAGAATAGCACAAAGTAGAAGCAGCTTCCAGAATTAATTCAGAAGTTGTATATTTTGTTACATTAGCTAACAAACACCAAAACCAGCCATGAATACATTATGCTGGTTATAACATTTATTTCCCTGCTCTACATTGTGTTTACATTGTAATGCAATTACTACATCTGCTTCACTTCATGAAAGTATTGCAAGCTTTCCCTATCCAATACAAACTCATCAACAACTTAGTACTTTTGAAGTCTGTGTTGATTGATACTTTCAATGCATGTTGTTTAGAAGTTTTGAAGTGTATCTTATTTAGTTCAGAACATGCTCATTCTTACATCTGTAAAAGGAAATGAATGTCTGTTTAAAGACCTTTCCTTTTCATAATTACAGTACAGGTGTCACGGGTTGCACAAAAAATCCTATGGCTACATTAACCATCCATTTCTGCCATTAAGTGCAGAATCCCTGCTCCATTATCCAATTCTGATTGTTCCATTGTTTCATGGTACAATTCTTCCCAACTTCACAAACTAAAACACTGAAATATGGCATTCAGGGCAGGACAAAGACAGAAATCAACATTTATGTTGTTTGGGTTTAAAGGAGCATTATCAACTTTACTTTAAATTCATTAAGTTTCCTCTACAATATTCCAATATTTAAGTTCATGCACATGTTTTTGACATCTCATTTCCCATGCCTCCTTTATAAAACTGGATTACAAACTAAACTTAAACAAACGAAGTTATTAATACATTTTTCTTGAACTCCCTGGAATGTAAACCAAACTATGCCAAAGTCATAGCTTTCCTTTAAACCCAGTGGTTTAAAATTCCATCGTTTACAACAGCAACACACCAGCAGCATAAGGTACCTTGCTTTTTGTGCCTGGTGAAGTACTGCTTCACATCTGTACAGTAAGTGCCATACTTATCCATGCTTCAGCTTCCAGGTCATAGAGGACCAATACGCTCAAACTCTTT